GGGGGGGGGGGGGGTGGGGGGTAGGAAATGTTGAGAGAAGAGTCTCAACTCTGAGGTTTGGAGATGAATGCACTTCAATATTCTGAGTCAGCGTTTGAACACAGCGAGGGCTGAGGGCCGCGACCTCAGGAGGGAGTTCCAGTGACTCAACGCTGTTAATGGTGATGAAAGGTAACGTGAGGTGAGGCCTCCTACTGCACGGACGACGTACTACACACAACATTAACAGAGGACACCTCTATGAGGCGCTGTTATTCATGATGGTAAACTGGTAAAAGAAATCTTTACATTAAAATAGTCATTAAAATAATTAAATGATATTTCACTGAAGAGTCAGTTCCATCAAGATCCTGGTTCAGTTCATGTTCAGGAAACTGCACTCTACTGTCACCATCTTCATCATCTTCATCATCATCTTCATCCCCCTCCTCCTCCTCCTCCTCCTCCTGACCACAGCTGACCAGTACAGCCACGTCCCCTCTCCCGTTCATGTGTCAAATGTTCCTGTCCATCGTGCCGTTCATTATTGATGCTGCAGCTTGATTACTTCCATGTCACGGTCTTTGGGATTGATCCCGTTCACCGTGGCCCGGGGGAATGAGGAAACACCTGCATCCCACGGCATCTTTTATGCTTTTCCACATGCCTCCTCGAGGAGACGAGGAGACGAGGAGACGAGGGGACGAGGGGCGTCGTCGAGGTTCAAGCTGGAGCTCAGAGATAACATCCGACTTTCCTGGATGAGTGACAGGCAGTTACTCCACTTAGAGGAGAGAGAGAGAGAGAGAGAGAGAGAGAGAGAGAGAGAGAGAGAGAGAGAGGCCGCGCCTCGTCCAAGGTTGATTTAATTAAATGGTTGAAGTGTCATGTGACTCCTCCCTTTGGCTGGTTACCTAGTTAGAGGACTAGTTTAAGAGGCTTCCCCTGCGCTCACAAACAAAAGTCAGAAATGAGACAACCGCGCCTACGGCTCAGCGAGTGTGTGAGTGTGTGTGTGTGTGAGTGTGTGTGAGTGTGTGTGTGCGGGGGTGGATGTTATTTATAGCTGTGACTTTGGCTGTAATTTTTACTCAACCAGGCAGTTTTCACATCAGTGTTTTATAAACAACTAATTCACAAGAAGTCAGCAGCAGAAACAAACCTCGTATATATATATATTATATTCGTGTTTTTATATTTACATTCTAAAAAATTAGCATGTAGTTTGGGTCCACGCCGTTACAGAGCGCTGTGTGTGTGTGTGTGTGTGTTGGTTTCAGGTTGCAGTGGTGTGAAACAGACTGTTGGTGGCAGCGCTCACATGACACTATGAGAACTGTAAGAACATAATTACAGTGGCGGTCATAAACACACACACACACACACACACACACACCAGTGTAACCTCTGATTTGACTGCACTTCTTATCACCTGATGTGGAGAACAGAATCACTGGATTAGTGAAAAAGAAATGTTTTAAAAATCCAACATGGCAGATTTGAGCCTCAGTTTCTCTGTGGTCTGAGCTTCATCCTGGTCTTCACCGAGGTGACGGGGCGACCTTCTCACCTCAGAAAGGTCATCCAATAAAATCTGTGTGAAGCCCTGACGACCTGTGTCCAAACATCAGGCTCTGACCCCACCAACCTGACCTTCTGCCAGAACAACAACAATCTGAACTCTTCTTCTTCATCATCATCATCATCTTCATCTTCATCAGTCAGTCTGGAGTTGAGGCTGAACACACACACACCACAGAACATGACCTCATCGTCGACGATGATGTCAGTTAGACTGAGAAGAAGGAGAAGCCTGATTTTGAAGCATGAAAATTCCAACGTGGTGAGAAACAGAACACGTTCTTACGACTCTAAATAAAACCAGCGTTGCCGACAGAGATCGATGGTACAAAGACCAGGAGAAACCAGGTAGAAATGATTCATCTGGACGGGAAACTGACATGACTCACGTCGGCTGACACAGACGGACGTGTCATGTGACCTCCTAAATCAAACTGTGGTCCTGGAGAAAAGGCTCCGTTTAACCCCCGACGACCTTTGATCGGCCACGCCCCCAAACTGTTCCTGTACCTCAGCTGCCTCGACCTTGATTGAACACAGAGGGAATGGTGTGTGTGTGTGTGGGGGGGGGGGGGGGGGGGGGGATGAAGAAGAGCCTCTCAGGCCTGACAGGATGACAGCTCCTAAAATGAGCAGCTGTCATCAGGAGATGAAGGAGGAGAGGAGGAGGAGGAGGAGGAGGCTGTAGGATCTGTTCCTGGCAGAGAGAACAACCTGTCTGAAATAAACCTCCTCCAAAACTGTCTGTGTGCTGACACTAACACAGGAGAAGGAGATTTCTCCGTTCACTGTTCCTTCTTTGTTCAAACACGAGATTAAAAACAGTTCCACGACGAAGGGAGAAAAAGAAGGAACCATGAGATTTACCAGAGCTAATCCAGATGAACGACCACACGACTGGTTCAGGTTCTGCTCTGGTCCAACAACTTTCATGTTGCATTGATCTGAACGTCAACTGCCTAGAACAGGGGTGTACAACCCCTGGCTCCTGAGCCACACGTGGCCCTTTAGCCTCTTAGCTTCAGTTCCCCAGTAATTGACTGATCCACCTGATTGGCCGCCTTTAGGAGAAGAAAACCTCCAGGAAAAGGTTGAAATTGAAAGAAGTTACATAAGGTCAACAACAACAACAAAAAAACAACACAGTTGTTGAACCAATCAGATTAAATCAGAAATGGATTTTTTTTTTCTGCTCTGAAAAAACACAACTGGTCTTTGAGACAGACGCAGTGGCCACGACCTTGGGCGTCCACAGGGGAAAGTGAAAGGACATGAGAGAGAGAGGGAGAGAGAGAGGGAGGGAGGAGGGGGAGAATAAGGGCAAAGATAGAAAAGATGGAGGGATGGGAGAATATCAGAGAGAGCAGAGCCGGTGGTGGTGGAGTCTTTATGAGGCTGCAGGATATTGGCTGGGGGGGGGGGGGGGAGAGGTGGAGCTGTTCATGTTTCCTCAGTCGACAAATGGAACACCGTTCTTCAACCGTTCTTCGACCATTCTTGGACCGTTCTTGGACCGTTCTTCGACCGTTCTTCGACCGTTCTTCTTTTCTTGGACCGTTCTTGGACCGTTCTTCTCGTACCAACAGACGTCAGTCAGTGAAATCTGTTTATTTAATTCAAGGGCGACTTCAAACACTTCAAGGACGTTTCCCATCAACAGTCGGCGCAGTTCCTGCCCCCGCCTCTGTGAGGTGATAACAATGATCACAGCAGTGCGATAAAAAAAAATTGACGTCATTACCTGTGACAGGGATGATTTATGGGCAGATTAAAGGTGAACACACTAATGGGATTGAGTGACAGAACCCGGAACCCGAGTCACGGAGACGGCGGCGAAGTGACCTGACCGAATCACGACCCGCCGTGCGCGTCCTCTTTAGCATTCAGCCACTAGTCCTTCATTTTCTGTGCAGCAAATAGAAAAGTCATCCTTCATCGTTGTGAAGGGAAACTGAAGCCGTTATGTAAATGTCAGCGTGCCCACGGGCTGGAGCACGGCTCCGCTCCAGTCCTAATAAGACTGGGATTAAAAGCACATCTGACAAATGTCTTCACACTGGCAGCAAATGAAAAGTGTGCGCAGACAGAACGATGCTTGGCCGTCGCTCTGAGGACGAGGAAAACAGGAAGTCAGGCTGGAATAAACGCTTCGTTCAAAGTCATTTACAACCTTTGACTCACGGTCATCTGAGTTTGTTTTCTGCTCAGACGGTCCACAAACAGTACCATACAGTACCATGCAGTACTATACAGTATCATGCAGTACCATACTGTACTATACAGTACCATACAGTACCATACTGTACCATACTGTACCATACTGTATTAAAGGTTTATTCGGAGGCTTCACTAACACGACTATTTTCACTGTCAGGACTAAAATAGTATTGTTTCCAAACATTGTCCCCACAACTCTAGCTATTCCAGTTACACGCTAACACACACACACACGTATACTTGTCTTCCTCAGTGTCAAACCACCGTCAACAGAACAAACAATGAGCTTCAGCTGAGAGGAGATGCTGCTGCTGCTGCTGCTGCTGCTGCTGCTGCTGCTGCTGTGACAGGATCTTCATCAAATTCAATCAAGGCTTTGGTTTAATTTCCTCAAAGTTAATGAGGAGTTTATCATCCATGTCAAAAACCCACTTTTCACCCACGTCGTCAGTCCTGATAACAGAGAACGTTCTCCTGCAGTAAACGTCAGCACCGAGGTGGGAATAAAGACAGGGATGAGGAGCAGGAAGGACGGGAACGTCTGTGGTCGAAGAAACGTCTGTGGTCGAAGAAACGTCTGTGGTCGAAGAAACGTCTGTGGTCGAAGAAACGTCTCTAATTCTCCACCAGATTTAATTCAGTTCAACACAGTGAACTTCAGTTTTTCAGTCCGGTCCATCCGTACAGTAGAAGCTTAAAGATTAATCAACAACTGTCAGGAAAGGGAATCTAGAGCAAAAACATTTGAAATTTAAACATTTCACAAAGTCCAGGAAATCGTCCCAGAGTTCAGGAAGCGTCACACACCCCTGAGAGTCGGACGATTATCCAGCTGATGTGAACGAACCAGAACGTTCACCTGCTGCTGGGCCTGACTCT